CAAGGCCAGGTTCGGGCCCGCGCCCCAGCGGGGGGGGGCTTCCCGGGTCGTGCCAGATGAACCACGTCGCCGGAGTAAATTTTCATCCTAGTCAAGGAAAGCAATCGCGGGGGCGCGCCGTGCCTGAAGGTCGCGGGCCGGGGCGCGCGCTACTCGATGACCCATCGAGTTCGAAAGTCAACGAAAACACCGCGCAATGCGTCGTTAACCTTCTGCAGGTGCTGGCCGGGGGCGTTCTGGCCTCCAGAGTCCCCGCTCGCGGGCGAGTCGGAGGAGTTCGCGGGCGTTTTCGCCGGCAGAGGCGCCGAGGAAGGTGGCCTGGCATCCGCGATCGACGCTCGGGCACCGTGGAAGCATGCGAAGACGGAAAGAGCGGGGGGGGATGTCGAGGCAATCTGTTCAAAGGCCCGCGAACTGGGCCCCCCCGAAAGTCGGGGGGGAGCAGCGGTGTTGGCGATGTCGTGCGATGCGGCCAAGGACCGATGCACCAACATATCAGGAGCCACTCCAGTGCAACGTGGATTGGGGCAACTTCTGCGTCCACCCGTGAGTCTAATATCCGATGTCTGCATGGATGGGCGGCTGCAGACCCAGGGTCCCGACGCGGAGCAGCAGGGGGCACGCGGCCTACGACTGGCTGCGCGTCGGGGTCGATGGGGGCGGACGCGCACCAGTCGATCATGCGAGTGCTCGCCAGCAGAACAAGACCGCGAGCGCTGGCGCAGCAGGGAGATTGATTTCGAGCGTGGAGGAAGTTCTCGAAGGACCCGTGGCGTCCTGACCACACGGGGCAGCGACGGGGTGGCCCGCGCGTGATGCTGATCGCGAATGGCGAAAACGCGTGGGTGAACAACAAAGGCAAGTTGTGGCGGCGCAGCCCTCACCAGGCACGGTTGGCCATCAGCGACGAGCGCAGGGCGGGCGAGCTGCTGAGCGCTCGCAACGACGGTATACGGGGGAAGCTGGGTCGACGTGGAAAGAGTCAGGGCTTCGCGGACATTTCAGCTGTAGGCCCTCCACTGGAGCGGGCCCGGGGCGGCGGCCAGGAGCTCCCTCGACGCGAGGGCCCTGCTCCAGTCCTGGGAGCGCGCCGCCTCCCTTGCCGGGGCCCCCGAGGGGCCTGCCGCGGATGCGGCGCGGCCCCGAGCGCAGCCTGCGTCGCCATTGCCTCGCGAGGGGCACAAGGAGGGGGGATCTCTTGCTTTCCGCAGCCCGCCAGCAAAGCCCGCGAGGATACTGGAGCGGGTGGCCCGCCTAAGGACAGGGGGGGGCGCCAGGATGCGAGGGAGCTTTGCTCGGGAAATCAAGGCAGCGCTGGAGGGGCATCCTGAGCGCCGCGCGAAAGTTCGCAAAGGTCTTCCACCGCAGGATGAGGAGATGACGAAGGAGATGGCCGCCGCGGCTCGACAGAGCATGGAGGCAGTATTCGGTCCACCAGGAATGGAGCTGGACGCCACGGGCCTGCGCAAAGGATCGGCGCGCAAGGTGGTGGAAGGCAGCCCCGACGTCGAATCCAATCCGAGGGGGGGTCGATGCGGCGGCGGAGCAAGCGGCGGAGCAGAAACGGCGCCAAAACCTCGGCGCCCGTGCCGAGAGCAGCGGTGACCAAGTGATGACGACAGCTTGAGAGGAGGAGCTCGGGAAAGACGTCTTCTTCTTTCAGGCCACGCCCGAGTGCGACGAGCGCGACGGCACCCATGTCACGATGGCGCGGCGGCGACGAGACGCAGGAGAGCCGCATCTCAGCGGAGGAGTGGCCGGATGCCGCGGAGTGGGAATGCGCGCCGCCCGGTGGAGGTGCGCGAGCGTTTAGTTCAGGCGAGAGTCCGAAGGTACGAACGGCGCCGCGCAGGCAGGGCATCGAAGATCGCATCGCCCCGTCGCGGCTTGCCCGGAGAAAGATGCCCTGAGCTGCCGGGCGCGCCGGCGAGCCTCAAGCGCCATTGGTGCGCGCGTGGGGATGCAGATCATGGCTGCTTATCACTGGCGCTGCAAGCCCTTGCTGCGTCGACCGGCATTCGGACAAGCTGGCGCGGGATAATTGGCGAATGTGCGCTGAACAGCCGCGCGCAGGACTGTCCAACATTGGGCCTGGCCAGCTCATTGAGCAGGTGCCCGGGGCGCGCGGGCCAGGACATGCACTTCTGCGCGTCGGCGAGGGCCTGAAGCGTGACTTCGCGGAGCTGGGGCGCCGTCGAAGCGCGCTTGACCCGAAAGTATTTTTTTGTATCCGGAAGGTGCGCCGATGACGCCGCTGATCCGTCTGGCCGACCTCGGAGGCCAGCGTGGAGTCGCTGGGCCCAGCATTCAGGCTCTGCCAGAAGCGGGGGGCGCAGCGGCAGCGAAGGTGGGCGACGTCTTCGACGTCGGCGCCCCCCGCCACCAGCAGCAGATGGGCGGGCCGCGCAGCCGGCGGAGGTTCGGCAAGGCCAAGGCGTCGACGAAGAGAAGGAGGGGGCCATGTTCAATGGGAGGCGCTACGCCCAGGACGCAGGGCTCATCCATCGCGCGCCCATGATGAATGTCATCGGGGAGCGGCCATCACCAGCGCGAGCGCCGAGCGGGGAAGCCGGGAGGGAAGCGCGCGGCCCGGGACAGCGAGGCCGAGCTCTGGATTGGCTCGCGCAAAATTTTCGGGCGGACGGCAGTGGTCGGCGCAGTCAGCTCCGGCGGGTGCTGCGCGAGACGACGACGTCGAGGAGACGAACGAGCTGGCTATGCACGTGAAGAACACTGGTGGTCTGGGCATCGCGGCGAGATCAATTCCGTTCGAGAATTGGAGGGCGGGCTCCTGTGTCAGGCGCGAGATTGCATGGCAGCAGCGAGGGGGAATCTCGCGGAGCATTCGCTGCACTGGCCACTGGCGCGCGAGGTTGCCAGTGGAGAGCGACGGCCTGCTAGCCTGCAGGCTTGGGGCAGTGCGTTATCTAGCCGGCAGGCTCGACGCCGCACGCGGCGACGCTGATGCTCAACGCCGGTTTGGGCGGAGTTTGGGTGGATGGCGACCTTCTGCCGCGAGTTCGCGTTCTCGGGCTTCCGAGCTGGCGAACGGGAGCGATGGCGCGAGCGGCGGCGACTCTGCCCCCCGCCGGGCGCAACGACGAGGCAAGATAGGCCGAGGTCCTACGGGAGGGGCTCTGCGCGGTGGGTGCCAAGTCCTTGCGCGAACACCTCCAGCGGGAGATCGTTGGCGGGCGTGGCCGCAGGTGGTCCACGCAGATTCAGATCACACGCCGCGCCTTTGACCCCGCGGGGCGCGAGATTTGTTTGGTGGATCACCCGGCGATGATACTGGATGGCATGACGAAGCGCAGGGCCAATATGGATATCATAGCGAAGCTGGTGAGGGGTGGGTCGTTACTGATGCATCGTGAATGAGGAAGAGACCATGGAGGTTCATCGACAGCGAAGGGATGATGGACAGTTGCCTCACCGCTGAGCCGCATGATATGATGCAGCCGCGGCTTCCATTTCCCGCCCATCGGCTTTTTTGGGGGGGCGGTTCGATTGCAGTGGTGCAACACGTGTTGTATAAATGCCAGCAGGGAAACTAATGTTTGGGAGCTCTAGATTTCTTGCGATCTGTGTGCTCCTTGCCCTTCCATGTCGCCCTCCATATGCCTTGCGCCCTCCGAGCTATATCCTTTTTGGCTTGGATTGGCTTACCCGGTTCCCAACCTGATCCCTCCAGAGCACTTGTACCCAGTCGTCCCTATATCCCTCTCCCACGTCTCGCGTTCGTTCGCGCGATATACCTGTACTGTCTGACGCACGTGCATCGGGTGCATAGGAGACATCACCATCATCACCGATGTCATACATGATTCCCCATTGGTTTCGAAAGTACGCCTTGCGCGAACGTTTGTATCGCGAGGCTGGTCTCGCGGCGCTGGGGGGCCGCATTCACGTGCGTGGTTGGGTGCGCACGTTTTTTGTGGGCTGGACATTTGACCGTGTTTCTCCCCGCTGCCACACTCCCCCATTTGTTTCCCTTGTTACATATCTATGTTTTTTTGTTTTTTCTCTCTCTCTCTCTCTCTCTCTTCTTCTCTCTTTCTGTTGTATATCGATATCGCTCTCTCTCTCTCTCTCTCGCTCTCTGTTTCTTTCTTGCTACGCTGGCGAAGTCAAGTTCTCGGGGCAGATTCTGAGTGCGAGTTCACGTGCGGTTTTGGGGGAAACTTATTTGCTGGCGCATTCTTTCTTCACGAACCGCAGAGGAACAGTGTCCGTGTTCTGGGTGTGAAGTCTGCGCCAAAGCAACTGTTTCGGGTGCCGTCCAGTTACGGTTTCAAGATTGGGTTTCTTTGGGTTCTTGTGTTGGATGATCCGTCCTTCCTTCTCGCCCCCTGCTTGTCAAACCCGCCTTGTTTTTCCGTTCAGTCTTACTTTGTTTGTTTCGCCCGCGCCTCTCTCTCTCTCTCTCTGCCTTCGCCCTCGTGCTTGTTGCTGCGTTTTACTTGTGCGTTCCTCGCAAAACAACAGTCGCACTTGTGAAGTTGCTGGCGGGAGGGCTGCCAATTGCGCAGCTCACGCCGCTCTCTCGAACTCGTGGGAGGCGCAGCGAGCCACGTCTTATGCGCACCCACAGGGGGATATCTCGCATCCTGGGGTGTGCCAACTGCGCAACCGTCGCCACTTTCGTGGATTTCCGGAAGGCGCAGCGAAGCGACGTCCTACGCGCACCCAGACGGGACTTCACGCTTTCTTGAGGAGGCTGCCAACTACGCAACGGTCGCCATTTTCGCGGGCCACTTGGAGGCCCGGCGGAGCGACTTCTTGGGCTTGATCTTCCAGTGCCATAGCCAGTTTTTGTTTAGGAAAGGGGTCCGTCCCTGAGTACTTTGGTCAAGGAAGGGGACGAACTCTCGCACGCTCGAAATATGATGTTGCATTCCCCCCCCCCACTATATTTCTTCTCCCGCCAGAAATCCTTTGCCTCCCCCCCGTTCCAGAAGCAGTCTTATGTATTTCCTTGAGTCCGCTGAGCTTCCCCACAGGAGCCCGTCCAGAAGCACCCGCTGGGGTCCGCCGAGAGCCTTGAGATCGCCCCGTCGCGGCAGGAGCCCTGGCGCGCACATTCGGGGCAGCCCGGTCTGCCCCAGTGCTCTGGGGAAGGGGCCGTGCGTCGGCGCTGTTGTGTCCGCGGGAGGCAGGGGCGCAGGCGGGAGCAACAGCACGATCAGGAGCAGGACAGGGAAGATGAGGACGAGGGGGAGGGCGGCAGGATCTGGGCTTTTGCCGTATCGTTTGAGATGTCTGTGGGCCACGTGATGCCTGGGCGGCGTGACGCCATCAGGACTCCATACCAGCAGGGTGGAGTTCCCGTTCCCCGTATCATAAGAATGGGGGTTTTGTTCCCCATATCCCGAAGACGGGGCTTCTGGTTCCCATTATAAGGATGGGGCTCTTGTTCCCCCATATCCAGACACATTGTTATTGTTAGTACTCCGACCGCGCCGGCTCCTTCCACCTCCTCCTTCTCCTCGTCTCCTTCACCCAAAGTTTCACTCAGGGTCACTGCTCAGGTTATGTAATGATGATGATGGTCAGTTCTCGAGCAACAGCCGCGATGGCGTTGAGCGCCGCGCGCCATCTGACAGAATTTTCTCCGCCGGCGCCCTGAGCGCCCGATGATAAGAGTATCTTCGGCTCCCCGCGCGCCTGCCGACAACACTATCTCTGCTGGCGCCTTGGCTCAAACCTTTCCTGTGAAGGGCCTCGGGCGGCCTCGCGCGCCCCGCTTGGCCGCGCCCCGCCGGCGCCCGCGGCTGCGCCCTGGCCGGAGCCGGCGGCGGCGGCGGCGGCCCCGGCTCCCGCTTCGCAGGCGCGGAGCTGCTTGGCTCAGGCAGTGCCAAGGGGGGTCACCACTGGGGGGGTCGCCAGCTTCTCCTGGAAATCGAGGTTCCAGGATGGAGAGTCGAGGGGTCGAGGATGTTCTTGGACGTTTCTTTGCGTTTTCGGGGCTCTGGGGGGCCCAGTTCCTCGAGGACGTCTCGAGGAAGTGGCGTTTCCCCGAGGAAGTGGCGACCCCCCTGGTGGTGACCCCCCTTGGCACTGCCCCATTGGCGGCCTCGCCCCCCGTGCTCGCGCGAGTCCCGGACTTGCGCGAGGAGCTCGAGCGGCGCGTGTCGGCGCCCCCCTTCCAAGCTGGACGATCTGTCTGGACCCCTGGCCGGCATGCCCCGAGCCGGAGAAGGGATCCTTCGGCTGGGGTGTCGGGCTCGGCTTCGGGCCCTGCACGATCCTGCTGTGGGAGGCCTCTTTCCCCCTGCTTGGCAGCCGTGCGCGGCTGGCTCTTGCGCCGGCTCTTGGGCACCCAGGCGGTGGAGGCCGCCGCGGCGCTTTTGGCCGAGAGGTGGCCGGCAACTACCGCAGGCTCCTGCGAGGAGATGTCTCAGGCGGTTTGTTGCGTGCTCAACATCCTCCGCTTTCGGAGCAGATTTTGAGTATGTCTTGGGCTAATCGCTGGTTTTGGCACCTCAGAGAGGCCCAGATTGAGAGGATGCTTCGGACGGTCTGCTTGTTTTGGTGGCCAGTCTCGTTTGCGTTCAGAGCAGGATCAGAGGATGTCTCGAGCGAGGCGCTGGTTTCAGCATTCTCAACGGAGAGCCGCTAGGGTGTTCTCATTGGCCCGTTCGCGCTCAGATTGTGGGGTTGTCTCCAGCGGATTGCGCGTTTGGGTGCCCAGCATGCCTTGTTTTCAGCGCAGATGGTGAGGATGTCTCGAGCGAGGCGCTGCCCAGGGGGAGCCGTCAAGGTATATTACTTTTCCCCGTTCGCGGCCAGTGTGGGGATGTCTTAGTCGTCTTGCTTGTTTGGTGGCCCAGTCCTTCTTCTTTTTACCTAACAGCGAAGACTGATAGGTTCCTAGTGGGGTCAAAAGAGAGCATCCTGATTCCCCAGGGGGGTGTGGCAGATGCCGGACGGGTGCCGGGGAAAACCGGGGACTCCCCAGGACTCCTATAGTTTCCTATAGTTTCCTATGGATTCCTATTCTTCGCGTTCCCAGAACACTATTCCCAGGCCACATTTTGAATGCCCGGAGCCAACTGTAGGCCACTTCGTGTTCTTCGTCTTCCCAGAACACCATTCCCAGGCCACATTTTGAATGCCCAGAGCTAACTGTAGGCCACTTCGTGTCCTTCGTGCTCCCAGAACACCATTCCCAAGCCAAATGTTGATTGCCCGGAGGCAGCTGTGGGCCATTTCGTGATCTTCGTGTTCCCAGAACACCAGTCTTGTGCCATATTTGGAATGCCCGAGCTGATGCAGGCTGAGGCCGAGGCAGGCTGAGGCCGAGGCAGGCTGAGGCTGAGGCTGAGGCACGCCGAGGCAGGCTGAGGCTGAGGCCGAGGCAGGCTGAGGCTGAGGCTGACGCAGGCTGAGGCCGAGGCAGGCTGAGAGGCTGAGGCAGGCTGAGGCTGAGGCAGGCTGAGACTGAGGCTGAGACAGGCTGAGGCTGAGGCTGATGCAGGCTGAGGCAGGCTGAGGCTGAGGCCGAGGCAGGCTGAAGCTGAGGCTGAGGCAAGCCGAGGCAGGCCTGAGGCAGGCTGAGGCAGGCTGAGGCTGAGGCTGAGGCCGAGGCAGGCTGAGGCTGAGGCAGGCTGAAGCTGAGGCAGGCTGAGGCTGAGGCTGAGGCTGATGCTGAGGCAGGCTGAGGCTGAGACAGGCTGAGGCTGAGGCTGAGGCAGGCTGAAGCTGAGGCAGGCTGAGGCTGAGGCCGAGGCAGGCTCAGGCCAAGGCAGGCTGAGGCTGAGGCTGAGGCTGAGGCCGAGGCAGGCCGAAGCTGAGACAAGGTGAGGCTGAATGGCTGAATGGGGGGGGGAAGGGGGGGGGGGGGAGGAGGGGAGGAGGCAGGCTGAGGCAGGCTGAGGCTGAGGCCGAGGGCTGAGGCTGAGGCTGAGGCTGAGGCTGAGGCAGGCTGAGGCTGAGGAGGCTGAGGCTGAGGCTGAGGCTGAGGCTGAGGCTGAGGCTGAGGCTGAGGCAGGCTGAGGCTGAGGCAGGCTGAGGCCGAGGGCTCTGAGGCTGAGGCTGAGGCTGAGGCTGAGGCTGAGGCGAGGCAGGCCGAAGCTGAGACAAGGTGAGGCTGAATGGCAGGCTGAGGCTGGCTGAGGCTGAGGAGGCTGAGGCAGGCTGAGGCTGAGGCGCAGGCTGAGGCTGAGGCTGAGGCTGAGGCAGGCTGAGGCTGAGGCCGAGGCAGGCTGAGGCTGAGGCTGAGGCAAGCCGAGGCAGGCTGAGGCTGAGGCTGAAACTGGGGCAGGCTGAGGCATCCGTAGGAATCCATAGGAATCCTTAGGAATCCTTAGAAATCCTTAGAATCCGTAGGCATAGTTAAGCATCCTCAGGAATCCTTAGGAATCCTTAGGATTCCCTAGGAATCCTTAAGAATCCCTAGGAATCAGGATTTCTAATGATTCCTCAGGTTTCCCAAGGATTCTTATGGATTCCTAAGGATGCCTAAGGATGCCTAAGGAAGCCTTAGGAATCCCTAGGAATCCTTAGGATTCCATTGGATCCTAAGGCCGTTGCCACTGCGACTGTCATTTCGAATGCGACTGCGACTGCGAGAACAGCAGAATTCTACAACTGGATTCTCACCTGAATATTAAGGGGAATGCTTCCAGGTATGCTTATACACATCGCTGCTAGGTTGCTTTGCCGGGATAATCAGGACCTCACGGTCGCCGCGATATAGCAGTCGTATCATGCATGTGGTGGGCACCCAAAGGAAGAACCGCCTGGGAGGGGGACATTTGCCAGGGCGGAGGAGGGAGGAAGGATGACGGATGAGGAGGTAGGAGTTGAAAGAGGCGGAGCAGGATGAGGACGCAAGTGGGATGGGGGGGAAGGATGGCCGCCAGAGAAGAAGATGAGGAGGAGGCGGTGGAGGAGGAGGAGACTCCTCCTCTGTTATCACGCTTGCTCCCTCTTAGGTTAGTCATACAGTATGACTCATACTCATGCTCAGACCACTCGGGCTCATTCACACCTGCACATGTCACGTTAAGCTGTGCCATTGTAAAACTCATACCCATCGGCTCACTCACATCAAGACTCGCTCACATTCGTTCAGACTCGCAGGCGCTCAGGCTCACCCGCATGCATAACCTCACACTCGGCCCACTCCTGCCCAGACTCATCTCGTACCCAGACGCTCGCAGCGTAAAAGTGCCAGTGATCTAGACGCACACTGCTCGATGCCCGCGTCGAGTCATATCTGCGCCGCGGTACGCAGCGTGGTTACCCTCCAAGGGCCTGGCGGCCGAAGTAACCCCCACCTCCGGATAGTCATCATGCCCTCCCCGTATCTCGGGGGCTCCCAAACTCAAACGACGCGAAGATCGGGACAAAATCGGATCGGGATAACTCGAAATCTCTGAAAGTCGGTGGGTTTGGAGGATGTATTGGGCGCCGCGGCCGCTCCAGAGCGTTCCGGAACGCTCTGAGAGCGCTCCGGAACGCTCTGGAGCGATTTATCCCGATCCTAGCCCTGTTTTACAAACGGGGTGGTGACCACACCGTGTGGTGAGTCGGTGGGGATTCGGGGTCACCGCACGGTTTTGGGGACTTGGGTCGTTCTCCGAGGATGTCTCGGGCGACCGGAGCCTCCAGGGTCACATGAACCGTGTGGTGACGGACCGTGCGGTGAGGTCTTTGCGGATTTCGAGGTCACCGCCAGGTCTGTCACCACACGGTTTTGGGACACCCAAGTATCACGACTGAGCGTTGACTATCCCGGGCCGGTACATGTTTGGTCAGGGAAGAGAGGCGGCAGGACCGAACTTGATCATCGCGGGGGAAGTTGCGAATCGAAGTTGCTCTCTTCTTCTGTTGGGTAGCCAGGATTGCTAAGGAGTCCGTTCAATGTCTTTTGGAATCCTATGGATGTCTGGGGGATCTTTTGGATTTCCTATGGATCCCGATGGCTGTTCGAAGGAGTTTCTACGGAAATCCGAGGGAACCCCATGAATTTCCCACGGGGTCCTAAGACAATGTTACGGAATTCGTTGGGAATCCTGCGCGTCTGCTGAGGAGCACTACGGCTTTTCCAAGGATATAT